GGCTGCTGAAAACGAGCAGCAAAGCGCCGGTTCTCCTCACAGAGAGGCCTCCGGAGCGCGAATCCCCCTCCCTCCCCGGCCCCGCCGCCCAGCCCCTAAGATGGCGGCCGGGGCGGTGCTGGGCGCCGCAGGGGCGGACGGGACGCGCGTTCAAACGGCGCCCGGCGGGGAGCGGCCCGAGGCCGGGGCTATGGAGCCTGCTGAGGGGACCGGGTGGGCAGCGGCCGGCAGCGGGAGGGGCTCCGTGGCCGGGAGGGTGTCCGGAGCCGGGCAGCTGTCGCGGGGGCCGCTCCTCAAGAAGCTCAGCGGGCAGCTCGGGGTCAGCCCCAGCGGCCGGGCGCTGCCGCCGGGCTCGTGGGTAAGGCCGCGGCTCGGCCCCCCCCCCCCTCAGGGCTGCTGAGAGGGCGAGGGGAGCGCTGCCACCGCTCCTTGTTCTTCTTTTCTTCCTAGGAGAACGCGGACCCGCGGAAAACAGCGTTTATTCTGCGCAAGCAGTGGACGCTGTACAGCGTGACCCCTCTGTACAAGTTCTCCAGCGCCCACCTGAAGGACTACGGCCGGCAGCTCGGCGCTTTCATCGCCGCCGAGAAGCAGAAGGGGCTGGCGGTGGAGGTGGGGGTCGAGCTGGGCATCAAAGTGGCCGTCTCCAGCCTGCCAGACCTCAGGGGCAGCGACCAGGACCACGCCGCGGTTCTCGTGCAGGTAAGGGGTCACACCAGCAGCTCTGAGGGCTGCTGCCACTACTACTTACATCTCACAGCCTTTTTTTTCTGTCATAAACTACCCCATCCACTTCCAAAGTCCCAACACTGTGAAATGATTACTGTAGTATCTGTTGAGACTTAATTAAAGTGCCTTCTGGCCAGATGGAACATCTCATAACCAATGTGTGTGTTCAAATTTGAAGTTCTGAGTTCAGCTCCCTTGTACGATCACAGTAGGAACACAAAGAGCACTCCTCATGTTTTAACTCAGCTCAATTTACTTACTGCAAGAACTTTGACAGGTTATTGAGCTTCATGGATGAGGTTGGTATAATTCTACCTCCTGGCCATAGCCCCCATCCAATTAGTACTTCTGCAGTGCTTTGCCTTGAGCGAAGTGCCAGGCTCCCTCAGTATGGCTATGCTTACAGGATGTACCATGCACCTGCTTTTCCAAATGAAGCACCTTAAACTCAGATTTAAGGAGTGTTCCTATAAAAAGTGCTTTTCCCAAAGATCACACCTTTTAGGGTTATAACATATAGACTGAGTAACTGTATGGACTTTACAGGCAAGAATGTTTAGTGTGAAGTCCTGAGGAAAAATCTTCCACCAAATACTCAAAATAATAAAACCCATCTTCAACTTTAAAAAAAATAAATAAAACTTGCTCTGTAGCATTCAAACACTTCTTTTCCCCAATCCAGCTTTCCTTGAAATCATCTGCTTCCCAGAAAAAAACAGAAGAGAAACTGGTATGGTCAGGATGGTTCTGCTCTGTGGCTGGAGATGATCTCTCAGTGAACGTGCTAGAGGACTTCACGTGTTTACCTTTGTTTCTTGCTAATGGGGCAGAGAGTTACACATCCCTTGTTGGCACTTGGTTTCAGAAGACTTTTGACTGCTGCTTCCGTCGCTTAGTCATCAGCCCTCTCATTCTCACTTGGATGGCGGCATTGTGGACTGGATACAAAGTGGACAAAACTTCATCTGCCATGGAACTCGTTTTCTCTGTTCCCTGTCTGCCCCAGCCTCTGGATATTTCATATGCCATTCACACAGAGGATGCAAAAGCTCTGTGGGACACTGTCCAAAAAACTCCAGGAGAGATCACTCAAGAAGAGGTGGATGTCTTTATGGACTGCCTTTACTCTCACTTCCACAGACACTTTAAGATTCACTTGTCAGCTACAAAACTGGTCAAAGTTTCTACAGGAATTGCCTCAGCACACTGTGATGGGATTATAAAGGTGAGGTTTTAGATAGCACGTTATCCTATATAATACTGGGCAACTAAAATAGTTGTACCTGACTAAAAGTGCCTTCCTTTTAAAAATTAAAGCTGCCTGCTTTTTATGCATAATCTACTACTAGAAGTTAGTTGAATTTTCAAGTCTTCCATATCTTGGTCCCTCCCTTTCTCCTTAATTATGGAGGTATTGCTTCTTCTCAATGCAGGAACTCTGTAACTTATCACTGCACCTCTTTTCCATCATAAAGAACAAGACTTCTGTGCCAAGATGAAGTCCTGAAAAACTAAGCTTTGTTGGAAAGCATCTCTTAAGAATTTTGTCCTTTAGTAGGACAATTACGGAACACTGAACATTAGTGTGGCATTGCCTATTATTTTTACCTGCAGCAGTTTAAGAGTGGCTACAACAACTTCTCATGTTGCAGGCAAGTAAACATGAGATTCTCAGACTTCCTGAGAAAGCATTTTCTAGAAAGTGGGGTTTATGAACTCCATAGCCCCATTACGAAGGAGTTGCAACTGAGTTTGTCAGACATGTGTATAGCAAAATACGGGTACTTGAGGAAAAGTGGCAGCCTAACTTGTGTTCCTAAAGAAGGGAAGTAGCCAAAGAAGTGCTAGGACTCCTTCCTCCAAACAGCCAGAGCAGGAGCAGGCCATCTCTTCAGGTACCATGGGACTGAAACAAAAGGTGGGGGGCTCCAACTGGCACAGGATTTAGGCAGGAGTGTTTTCTATAAAGCCGGAGTCAAAATAGTAATAAAGGTACCGTGCAGATGACAGAGAAGTTAACTGTAATCCCAAGGAACACCCAGTGTTTGGTCTCCAGCCAGTTAAGGGTGTGGAAATCTGACCACTGGTTTATTCTAACTATGCTTTTTTTTTCCCTTTAAACAGTTTCTACAAAGCCAGCACATGATTAGAGTGCTGATGCTCCTGACAGAGCTGGCAATCTCTCAGATACAGTGAGACTCAATTCAGCAAATCGTTACGCTATGAAGGCTTACGGTTCGAAGATGGAAGCTGAGAAACCTATTGGAAACTCATTCTTGCAGCATTCTTTTACCTTTCCTGCTTGCTGTTCAAAATGGAACTGTAACTTCTGCACTGAGATCCGTAATTAGCTAAAATTCAACATCATGCACAAAGAAAAGCCGACATTTTGCCCTGAAGGACTACAGTAGCTTCTTAAGCACCTTTTTTATAGTTACTGCATTCAGTTGTATATAGTGTTATTTGCTGGAGGCTGCGAGGTAAAGTTTTGCAAATTCTTGGATGCAGCTTACTGACAGGTGTTTGTTTGCTGCTGTTGGCAATTTGTTTTTCACTGAAGTTGACCAGCCCAGCTCTACAGATGTTAGCTATAGTGTGGTACTGCTGGGCTGAAGTCTAAATGCAAAGTCAAGGACACCTGAGAAAGGGATGCATGTTCTGCAGCCTATAGCAGAAAAATCCAGGTTTCTAATTTTCTAGAAAACTAAGGCCATTGGTAATAGTCAGTGTTTATCTATTCCCCAGGTGGGCTAAGGTGAAAAGCAGGACTGACAACTGCCTTCTCTTTCCAGTGCTGGGGGTCCTCAATGATGAGTTAATATATGGGAAGATCTGTCTGTAAACTAGTTTTATGATCCTTTGCCTGATGTAATCTTGTAGACCACAGAACTTTTTATTGGATATCTTCCCTACAGTAGTAGGTGGCAGTTCAGAAAGCTACTGCATAGAGACTGGTTACAGCTTAAATGAGCAGAAAGGAAGTATTACATCCTAAATGCTATGATTAATGTTACAGTACTACATAAACATTTCCATTTTTTAACCAGTGGAAGAGAAGATTTATAGCTGACCAAACACGTACTTGTCTTCTGCTTATCTCTAAATTATTTTTTTACTTGACTGAACTACTTATTGTTACCTCTTAAATAAATCTGTGAGCAAAGCTAAAGTCTAGTTTCTTGTAGAATTCATTCATAACTTCACATACTTAACATCTCTAAAGTCTAAACATTTGCGCATGTGTTGCATCCTTCCCCATAAACAGTGATGTAAGTTTTCCTTTCTTTGCCAAATCACAAGTTTTGGAATCATCCATCAACTCTCACTAAAAGCAGCTAGTACATTCTTCACTCTCCCCAGCACCAGTGAGAGGAACCAGCCATGCAAACATGAATAGCTGCTTAACACACCATAATTGCATGTCTAGTTCCTAATCTACTGCTAATAAAGGAGCCTTTAGTCTCCTATTACATTTACGAGAAGAATCATGCACTTGCTTGTAGTTTTTATGTTTACTAATTGAAGATGGATTACTCTTGCTTGTAAAGCAATGATGCTTACCCTGTTAGAAGTAATTGAGCCATCTTCTGAAGCTCCTTGCAGCTATTAAAAACTACCAGTTCTGATTTCCTTTTAGGAAACATCTTAGACAAAAATTTGCTATATTGATTCAGAGGAACACTAGGTGATCTGACATGAAGTGTCAGCTGTATTTGGTTTGAAAACGAGACTGTTACTCCCAGAGGTTAATTTTAAGATCTAACGCTCAGCTCTTCCCAGCAGCTTTGCATAATCAGTTTCTAAAATTCTAAATTCAGCGTAGCTGCCTTAACCTATTCCTTCTTTTAGGAACACAAACTAAGAGCATATAAAACCTGCGAGAATTCCCTGTGAGTGCTCTGCTCTCAAGACTGGTACTTCCCTAAAGTTGTTCCTTTGCTAAGCATGTCCAGTACCTGCTACAGACTTCTGTAGGACATTGCTGGAACGAAGGGCTACTTCCTTCTTTTTACAGGCTTACCCACAAATTGGAATAGGTAACTGCAGTTAAGTCAGCAGAGCTAGATTTAGGAAGATATTGCGGATGCTTTCTTCCAGGAAAAAAGCTGGTTCTGAATCATGTGCTTCTAAGGAATTGAGGTTAACACCAAACAGCAGAGTTTTTAAACCAGTTTTACTTTGACTGGTACCTGAAAAAAATAGCATCTATATCCACTGTACGTACACAAACTAAATAAAACCACTGCTTTCAAGTAAAGGAACAAACGAAAAACAGCATAGAAGAAATTTATTAAGATAGCACTATTTATACAAGTTACTCATGCTAGAAAAAAGCATAAATGATAAATGTAAACATTTGTTTACAGAATACTTGTTTTCCTTGTAAAGGTGCAAATGATTTTCATATGTAAACACAATATCAACCTCGAGGGGAAAGGGGGCTTTTTAAAAACCTTTAATGACCCATTTATTACTGTAGTGTAATTTTTACTATATTCAAGCACATTAAAATGCTGAGTTACATGAATCAAACTATGAAGTTAAAGAACTTAAGATACCAGCACTGCCTTTTTCATCTCAAGAATTTACAGTCCTGTCCTCTTATTCTTTTAAAATCAGATTTAGTAAGGTCCAAAGTTACATCAGGTGCAACAGGTCTTTCTTTCATTCTGTATAGAAATTACAGTACAAACGTGTCAGAACCTTTGAGTTTAGAGTTCCTCTCTCCCCACCCCTGGGTACCTCTGCACTCACCAAAACATGACAAGTTACAGTGCCAGCAAAGAGTCCTTCCCCTCCAAACTCTTTCATGAGTCTCAGACCTTTCCCTGCTCAAAACCAGCCCAGAGAAAGTACATAAAAATCACTAAAAGGGAGGTTACCATCTCGTCACAGTCGGTGTTTTACAACAGGAATTCTGAAGACACAGACAAGAGGCAGGAGGGCAGCTAAGGTGATGCTAGTCTAAGCATTTTTCACAGCAGGCACTGACTGCAGGTCTGCCACTCTAGCAAGAAGCTGAGGAGTGTTGATCTAGGCTAGTAAGAATTAACAGATGACACCTGCATACCAGCTTCAGACAAAGAGTGATATCTAAGTAGGCAACGTGAGAAAGATTTTTCTAAGTAAGCAACAAGTTGTTTCTAGGTTCATATACAGGGGCGTTGAGAGACAAAAGCTGAACTTCTGTACCATACACTGTACACTAAAAAGGCATTGCCTGAAATCCTTTTCACTCTCTTTTGTGGCATTTCACTGATTCAGTCGATAGATGAGAGTTCCAGTTCTACTTCTTGCCTCTAGCAAGACTGAAAAGATACTCAGGGCACCCATCTTCATACCTCTCCTGTACTCTAAGAGACCCTAACACATACCACAAGGGTTGGAACCACAATAGCTTGCAGGACATAGCCCTGCCCTAACCATCAACTCATCAAAACTCAAATCGCACACGCACATATACATATATATAAAATACATATATATATATGCACACATATATATGTATATAAAAAGCTGGAATCATCGCTGTGAGCGATACAAAGAAAATACATGATACAAATTAAATGAAAAAATAAATATACTCTGAGCACAGGAAAGCTTCTGTGCAAAGGTGGCACCTTGCAGGTCAAGTACTTTTTTTTTTTTTTGAAGCTCTCTGTAAATAAGGCAAAAGCAATGTTTTCCGTATCACTTTCCTCTTTCGCCCACCACACAGCTGCCACATCCACTGCTCACAGCAGAAGGGAAGGCAGGAAACCCTCTTCCTTGCCAGACTCCCATTATAGCTTGTAGTCTTTACATCAGTATTACTTACACTATAGCGACATTTACAGTTTGGTTTATTCAAAATTGTAGACTATTTAGAAAAAATACGGACATAAGCAACACTTCTACTTTTGTCCAGTGGTTCCCTGGAGTCTGACAACGTGGTCTCCCATTGGGCACACTCTGACAGAAGTCATTTTTATAGTTCCATAAGAAAGAGTTACATCGGGTCTAGACCATTCATACTAGAGCTGCAAAGAGGTCCAGTGTCAACAAGTCTCTTCAGTTTTTCTAGAAACGAGAAGCTAGGGGGCTCCTTCCCTCTCGATGCTTACCATATATGAGATTCACAGTGTGTCATTTTGATAACACCTACTCCTCCTCCCAGCCGGCGATAGTTCATCCCACCGTACAACCTGCAAAGACAAGGCTTCCGTGAGCACACTGCTTCACCTCCTTCATGGAGCTACCAGGGGAAAGACTGAACCAGCCTTTGAAACCACAGTTACCCCACTGATAACCTCTGGTTACAGCGGATCGTGACAAGTAGCAGGGCAGCAGGCTTTTTATATACTTCCAAGGTAAACACTTCTATTTGCTTATGCCCTTCTCCATCAAAACAAAAATTGCTTCTTGTTTTGACACGATAGTTTTCTGTTACTTGAGTAATCGCTTGCTTTCTCCCTGTCTCATTGTGTGACAGATTAAAAAAACAATTTACAGGCTGTAGCTGACCTTGGGCTAACGTTTTGGATAGCACTGGATCAAGGATAAGGTTGTCACTTACAATTCAACTTACATTTCTAATACCCTAAATTCAGCTGATCTGACCAAGATGTAACACATCCCAAGCACCATCTGCTTCTCCAAGATATGCTACTGAAATGGTGCCTGCATTTCACATGGAAATCTGATCCCTATAGACTCCAGTATCCTACTCACTTCAGCTGCATACTTCTATGCCACTGAAGTCTACTGGCAGAAAGAGGAGCTCTTCAAACAACTCTTACCAATACCATTTGGGATTAACAAATTGTATCAGAAGATTTTCTCATCAGGCTACACACATATACTAAAAACCTTCTCAGAGCAAGAAGTTCAGCAAAGAAAAGGAAGACGACCAGATGTTGATTAGCTACATCAAATTAAGCAGGGGGAAAAGCCCACAAGCTACTACCTTGAACAACCTCCTAAGCTTCCGTGAAGCCAGGCCAGACAGTAACTCTTAATGCAATATATGTCATGGTTACAGTCACTGGAAGTAGCTGAAACAATGCAGCTAAGGAATATGAAGTACGTATTACTTTCTATTCAGCTGTTCTTTCCTCAGCAGTTCATAAAGCATTGACCATAGCTCAGCAAACAATGGGAAGGGTCTCTACTGCTTCTCATGACAGTTTCTCTCAAAAGGATTAATTTACTTGTATTATTATACCAGAAAGAATAAAGACATTAATTTCTATTCCTCTCCCTCCAATCCTTCCTGATTACTAAAGGAACAAGAATACAGATAGGAGATTGAAACTTTATACTAATTAGATTTAGGAATAAACATACAGGTAATTGCTTTCGAGCATAGTTACGAATAGAAAAGAAATGGGAAATACAAACCAGCAATTTCATGATTTTCTCTCATCTTGTAAATCAGATGAAATTCTAATTGCTGCCTTCCAGATTTAAAGGGGAAGAACATCATATGCTCAAAGTATTTCATTTCAGCTCCTCCAGACAGATTTGGAACTCAGAGCCTCAGCTTGATAGCCAAAAATGAGTAGGCTGAATTCTACACCATGACTGTGAGCTCGTTCTGCTAAGGGCAAGCGTGTTTTTGGAAGTAGAAGAGACTGAGCCCAAAATAAACAGAAGGGGAAGATCTCTTTCGGTATGGTTCATTGTTATACATTCAAAAGCAGCATTTAAAAACAAATTAGGTTTTAGTATGACATTTTACCTAGAAAGACTGATGAATAGCTTTTGTCTGGGTCTCAATAACCTACCTACCTACACATGGCTTTCCAACCTGAAAAAGCTGCAATGAGACTTTATTCATTAAGTGTTAGTTACCCTTTGCAATACCAGTGTGGGAAAAAAAATAGGCAGAAATCACTCCCACTTCACCTAAAATGGAGTTAATGGCTGGAGTTCAAGCAGAAATTTGCAAGAAAATGTTTCTCAACTGCCCGTTACTCCTGTAGTCATGGACATGGGGATTGCAGTAGGTAAATGACATCAGGATATTAAAACTGTTCAACTTCCATCCATATTTAAATGGAGAAGTCATATTGTCAGGGAAGGATTTCACAGTCAGGCACCAGTGACAGAGATGCAAGCCTGCCACAAGGTTAGTGTCAGCAGCAAGTGCCCCTTGTATATAGGGATTTCTCAGCCTCAGACTGCACTTTTGGAATAATGTGGTAGCAACAGCTGAAAGAAGTTCCCGTGCCTTCACTTTTTTCCCCCAATACAACCCCTCTTTCTTACAGTTTCATGCAAACCAACAAGCCACAGTACGAAACTCATGCTGGTTACTGCACCAATTTCCTCATGATGGTGTATGTCATTTTTCTAATTTGCCTAGGACAGTTCCAGCTGGATGGCAGCAGCCACGGCTGGAGATTGCTATTTGATTGTTCCACAAACTTAGTTACCTCCATGTGTTTGCATCCGGATCAAACACCTCAATGGTCTTCAAGTACGTTGTGCCATCAAACCCCCCCACTGCCATTAGCTGTCCGTTCACCACTGCAAGGCCAACCTGCAAAACAACCATCACAGATAGTCACTGTTTAGCTGGGATGTACTGAAAAGACACATTCCTCAATGCATGCCCTGAAATGAATGGTTAAAACAAGTATTAATAAAAGGGTTTAGTAACCGTGTTTGGGGAAAGTCAATCTACAGTTGAGAATTTTTGGGGAAAAGAGGACAAACAAAATAGTATGTTCTAGCTAGATGCATTCTAGGCTGATACAGAATGCTACACAATCCAAATACTGGGTTTAAAATTACAAGACATTAAGAGGTAAATATACGTCTGAAAACAGAATGTCTCAGAGAAAAAGGAGAAGGTTCCTTGTATTACCAGCTACAAGAATTGGAACTGCCTGAATGGTTACAGACACATCAGGCCCTAAGCCTTTGCCAGCCAAAACACATGTCCTGGATGGAACTTCTTGACAAGAGAACACACACCGCAGAGTATCTACCAGCCTACAGTGCTTGCTTAAACTGTAACAGAACCATACACAAGCCCTGGCCTTCTCCTTTTGGGCTATGATTTGGACCATCTGTAAGCACCCTGGTCTCCAGCCTACCCTTCTACAGAAGTGCAAAATCACCAAAATCTCAAACTGTTCTATGGTTTAGGAAGGTCACCTCTATTGAAAACATTGTGGTGCAGAGATGACGACAAGAACACAATGTAAAACACTCATTGTTTTGCCTCCGAGGAAGTCAGAGCAAACTCAGGAGGGCTGCAGATACAAATGCATCTGTTGAGCAATTTCTACGCAAAACAAATATGAAATAAATTCATAACAAAATAACACTTAATGAGTGACTAAGAGGGACAGTGCTGAACAGTGTACTATAAGCTTGAGGAAGGAAATATACATTCTGTCCCCAAAACCAGTCCTTGAGCAAGTTATGATTCACACTTGCCTCACCAGACACTGAAATACTAACATACAGAATTAATCCATGCTTTACTATATAATCCAGTATCCAGCGATAAATATTCATAAAATTTGCATCTGCCCAAGCAAGATGACTACTTAAAACACTGTGTTAATCTTTTGTTCAGATGCCTACTAAAAGCAGGGAGATTAGCAGTTGATGAAAACACGCTGTCACTTCCTATACCCACATGATTTGGTGAAGAGAAGCAACATTTTAAGTGAAAGCCCAAAAATCCTGTTCCCACACATGTAAAGGCAATGAAAAGGCTTAGCAAGAAGTTCATATCTAAATACAATTGCCCAGTTTTCCAGCTCTTTCTTCTGGGCAGGTAAGTTTGCTCATCTCTAAATTCATCCAAAGCACATTGCAGGATGAGACCAGGTACTGATTTGAATAGTGTTCTCTAATATTGAATGTCCCCACCTTCAGGCATGTTAAGCAGCTGTCTATGCCATGACACAACTACCACTTCACTTTCACATTTTAAGTTGCTTTGCCTCTTGGCAAACATTTCCCTTACAGAAGAATAGAGGTGAAAGTACAGAGGAAGCCAGAGGAAAATCTCAGATGATGCTCTGTCCCACGCTCTCACATGACGTACATTATAAGCAAGCAAACCAAGCCAAACTCACTCCACTCCGGCGGGATGTCATGGCCACAACAGGAGACCACTGGTTTGTTCGAGGGTTGTATCTCTCCGCACTGCTGAGCTCTGTTGTATCATCTCTGCCTCCCACAGCATATATCATGTCTTGGTACACCGCGCAGCCCAGGTGCTTCCTTCTAGTCCCCATGGGTGCAATCGTATGCCAGCGGTTCTCCTGGGGATTGTATCGTTCCACTGCAGAGGAAGTGACATTTTTGGACAACAGGGTTGGCAAGCAGTGCTATTGCTCTATCTGTAAAGGCACTACAGTTTCCACACAGCAAAAATATAACGTACCAGTTTGTTCTGTCACTTTAATGTTTCCCTTCCCTAAAAAGGCTGCTATTCTCTCTCCTGTCTCCAATCCTACACAATCAATCATATAAAGCATCTTCACTCAAGAAGAGTTGGCAGTGCTAGAAAACGATCTGCATTGGCATCTTGCAGTAGTTTGACCTTTGGTACCTTCCCTGCTGGGGAAGGGCTATTGCGGGGGGGGGAAAAAAAGATGTGCTTGCAGCTGTTATGCAAATGAATGAAGTATTGTATTCAGGAAACACTGCCAAATGCAGCATCAAGAAACAAAAAACCACCACACACAATCAGGTAATAGGGGTTCACAAGCTCATGGAGTGAATAACAATAGAGCAAAACCACACCTGAAGGAGAAAACACTCAAACAACCACCACAATATTCAACTACTACCTGGAGACTTAAGGACAACAAACAGGACCGTGACAAGCTCTGACTGTAGTGAGGGACAGCAAAAGGCATACCAGTATTGAGAGGAGAAGTTCCATCAGAGCCTCCCACTGCGTAGAGGAAGCCCCCTAGGACAGCCACTGCAACTCCCAGGCGCCTGGTGCTCATGGAAGCCACTCGAGTCCATTTGTTTTCTTTGGGATCATACCTGGCAGGAAAATAAACACCAGAGCTCAGCAAAGCATCAACATCTTCACAAAAGAGGCAGAAAGACTCATCTTATTCTCTCCAAAGAAAAATCCCCATGAGATTTGAACATTTACCTTCTCTGAAGCTGATCTGCACCTGCTAAGAGACCCACTTTTCCATGTGCCCCACTTTTAAAATTAAGTACCTTTCCACAATGTTGAGACAAGAGACACCATCCTGGCCACCCACGGCATAGAGGTAGCCCCCAAGAACTGCTACTCCAACACTGGTCCTGCAGGTGCTGGTGGGGGCCACGTCACTGCTCCACTGATTGGTCTTGGGATCATATCTAGAAAAACACCAAAGAGGACAAGTTGTTTGTCTAGGATGCTTCAGACTCCCCCATGCTTGGGAAGTACGGAGGCAGCAAAGTTTGCCTATCTTGAGCTTGAACTGCACCACAACTATTTGTAAGTTGAGTAAGTATCCCAAAATGATGTAATGCATCCAACACATTATCCCAAGGATGTTCAAACTGCAGCTTGGATGATTCAAACTGAAGATCAAAGCTTCAGACTCGTAAGAGAGCAGGTTACTAGGGACTGGCTGACACATGGTAACTTACACTTGTGCAGAGAGCAGCAGGCAGAGTTGCTCTGCTGGATGTTCTCTGCAGGTCACACAAGAACTCAGCTAGCACTGGGTGAGACCTGCACTTCTAGATAAAGATGAAGGAACCAGGTGGACTTGGGAACCCAGAGACAAGAAAATATAGTGCAGGACATTGGAGACACAAGGCTAGGGTCATGATTTGGGAGCCCAGGAATATGCAAAGAGATGCGCAAAGAAAGGTAGGAATGAGATATTTGTATAGCTCATTGGATTTGTTAAAGGGAAGACACTGAGAGCGCTAGGAGTGCTTGAGTCATGGGGCTTTTAGCCATGCAGGCTGCCATATGCTGCTCCCAGAAACAGGAAGCTTGACACAGCTTGTTTGACTCGTCTTCCACAGGTCTAAAACTGACCTATTTTCCTCCTCCTGTGTTTGCAAGGTTCCTTTATTCTGTAGTTACCAACCCACAATGAAATTCCAGGATGCTTTCCCTCAGCATTGAAGCTATGCATACCATAGCCTCACCTTCCTCAACAATGCTAAAAACAAACCAGCAAATGCGAAGAAGGTTAACCAGGATCATCACTGCTCCCAACTACAGCCAAACCCACCTCCTGCCTGTTCCTTCCTTATACCAAAGGCTACGTCTTCTCTCATTAAGTTGGGGATAACATGAGAAGGTGCTACATGTGAAGACCTGGTTCAGCAGTAAACCAACACAATATTGAAGGGGTGTCCATGTAGGTAACAAATTTCATGTTTTCATCAGGAAAAGATCACAGCTCCCAAAACCAAACCATTTTTAAAAGGCTGCACCCAGGTTTAAATATTCAGAGCTAGCATTTTGCATACAGGCCTTATGAAGACCTACCTTTCCACACTATTAAGATAAGAGGAACCATCGTGGCCTCCCACCGCGTAGAGGAGGTCATCCAGAACACTGACTCCAACGCCACAGCGTCTTTTGCTCATGGAGGCCACCATCCGCCACTCGTTGGTCTGAGGGTCATAGCGCTCCACACTGGAAATCGCATCCCCACTGCACCAGCCCCCCACTGTAGGAACCAAACACAAGAAATGGTGTCACAGCAATGCACCAAGCTCATGTATTGTACATGTGCCTCATACAAATGATCCCTCTGGACTTTGTGGCTACTGGTTTAAGGCTGACATCTCTCAGAGTTCCTCATTCCTCATTATAACTGGAAGACAATGTCATTTTCAAGGTGATTTACGTAAGCTTGGGAGTACTGTGGCATTAATACCACCAAAAAGATAACGTGAGCAAGAAAATTAAACTCAAACCTCCAAATATTAACACACAGGTCACTTCAGAAAGATGTGGAAAAGATTAGGCTTACAGGAACACTATCACCAGAAAAAAAATAATAAACACAGACTTGAATCTCCTGACTTAAGCCAGCAGGAGCTGTACACACCTGCAAAGAGTACTTCACCACAGCGGATGGGTTTGCGTGGTCTGGTTCGTGGTCCTTGCATCAGTGGCCGCTCCTGCGGCAGCAGGAGATAGTTTTTGGCTTCATCCACTAAATCCCTGTGCAACACAGGAAAATATTAATTCCCAGAGCTGATGTGATACAGGTCTAAGGAAAAAGCACAAACCGAAACTGATGGCAAGAGCAGCCAGCAACAGTTGTACACTTCAGGTATTCACAAATCACATAAGTGCATGAATAGCTCTAGTTAAAACACGCACTGTCACCTAAATACTCATCAACTGCTTACAAGTCATTTACACAGTGACAGAAGTAGATCAGTATCAATATTTGGCTGGAGTTTAATATTAGATACTACGAGCTATAAAGACTGACTAAAAGAATGATGAGATTTGTCAGGCTTACTGTACAGAAAAGAAAAACCCAGTCTGCTTCAGGCTAAGTCTTAACAAATCAGTGGTTTTGCCTGGGAACAAAACAGGACTCAAAAAGCACACGAATACATAATACACACACGACCAATAGATGGAGATAGTACCCTTCTGATGAATATTTTCTCCATGAGCTCTGGCCAGCTCACAATGTCCATCCATTCATGACTTGTCACCTGGTCTAATCCTAATATTCCAAACCCTTGAATAAAACAAAAAAGAAAAAAAGTCCTCCTTCCCTCTAAAAGCGTGGAATTCCCCCAGTATGAATGCTTAATTCAGGAAGAGAACAGTTTAGCCTATCCCTTTAGCTTTTCCACATTAAGCCCAGAAAGAAAAATTGCGTGCTTCATAGATAATGCAGAACTCAGCAAAATCAGAAAGGTGAGACTTATACCACAAGAGAAGGAAACAACAGGTTTTTTGCAGTAGCATTGCACAAGACAGCGGACTCTAATCCTTGAGTCCTATGGAGTTATCAAAGTCAAGATGTTTTGCATACAGAAAGTACTTTAAGTCATGAAGAGATTATGAATAAATACCATGGAAGTGGTAAGCTGCAATGAAGAGCCATGACTACAGAATTAAAAATGTGAAATGGAAAACAATACACTGAAGGGTATCTTACCAAAAGTCAACCTGTGTACTTAAAGTCTGCTATTTCACTGAAAACTTAAAAAGAAAAAAAAAATCCTCTATGTCACACTACCAACTATTATGCAAATAGGAAATGCTGTCTTGCATTTCTTCTCCTCCCAGTTGCAAAAGAGGAAACTGTGAGATATTACCCATTTACTACTGACAAATAAACAGTTTCAGAGAACAGATGTAAATAAGGCACTCAAAGACAACACAATCCTATTCTGTAAATTAGCAAGGAGATTTACCGGCATTCCTCATCGCTCTTAATAAGAGGATCAGAGCCCACGGTACCCACAAGAAACTTGGGACTCAGCAGTGGCAAACGGACATGCTGTAGAACCTACAACACAAACCAGAACGTCATTGTAGATAAGTCACATATTCCCACACACATATAAAGAGAAGTAAAATTGAAAAAAAAAAAAAAAAAAAAAAAAAAAAAGATTGGTTAACAAGTTTTTGATAAAGAGTTGATAATTTCTCTAGCAAACATCCACGGTCATTTACAATCCAAAATCTTGAAATCTAGCATTTGAGTTTAACATAGCTCAGCTTACAGTACCTTTGCCTTTTCCAAATATCAATTTGGATAGGCAGAAGGCAGGCAGGCAGTTTTTGAAAAGAGACAATCCCTTTATTAACTGATGAAAACCTGATTTATTAACAGATGAAAATAAGCTCACAATTGAAAACCTTCACAAAAATACAGATGTCAATATACCTGCCTGAAACACTAGTTAAACATTTTATCAACCATTTAGCTCTCTTAAACGTGAGTGGTATTGCAGATAACAAATAACATCCCTTTCGTAACAGTTTAGAATTCAGAAGCACAAACAGGTACAGACAGAGGGGCCTAAAAAGGCACAGTTTAACACCATTAAGAAGAGCTAGCTTGAGGACAGCGGTGGTTTTGTTTGCTTTTAAATAATTTTCAAAAGCTTTCCACCTAATAAAGTTGCATTTAGTATCAGCATTTCCAAAGTAAAAACACCGAGGTAGACAGACTCTCGCTTCTTTTGATCAGAAAGCCTGGGACTTCAGAGGCTTTCCAGTTGACAGCTTTGTCAGAATGGGTGCTTCTCTGCGAAATGGCTTGGCCTAGATGAAGCGCTGCATTTCAACAAAACCATTCTGACAAGCTCCAATATAAGATCGTGAGGGCTGTGGCATAAATCAAACAGCAGAGCTTAAAGACGCACCTCAAATGAAGGCAAGCTTTTTCTTACCCACTTTTTTTTTTTTTTGTACAACACTCAAAGCAATCCAGGCAGGTTTGTCTGGACAGACCACTGGAATGATCTAGTTTGGCAAGTCCTACCTGGAAACAATTCAATAAAGCCCCTATTAAAAGGTCTCGCCACTGCATCTTTCAGCCTAGATGAAAGGAAACTGCAAGCCTTCTAACACAGGTGGCAGTCAGAGAGAACTACTGTGCCACTGCATGCGTTCAGAACTGTCACGCTGCTGTTACACCGCCGTATCAGTCCTCATTACTCTTCCCCTAGATAAAGCAGTCTCAAATGTTATTGTGCTCAGCATTACCTGTGGCAGCTGGGGTCTTCTTTCTTGAATGCTGTATTTCACCCAGGCCATCACCGCGTTGAACACCTGCTCTTCGCTGCGAACATTTAACTCGTCACTGGATATAATGTCTATGAGCTGATTGGCAGGAAGCAGCATGAACTCCTCACTCTCCATTACCTGGTTCAATGGAAAAAGCAGCAAAAAAAATGAGGACAGCGCCCAAAGCACCAGAACCTTTCACCACTCCGGCACTTCAGTGCAACTCTAAAGGACAGACAGCCCGCTTGAATTAGAAACCAAGGGACTGATCCAATGAAATCCCAAATATCCATCGCTGCCTTGACATCAGCACACGAAGGGCTTGCTGTATGGTACGAAACGCAGACCCTAGCAACACAGATGCAAGTGAAAAAGTATCACAGTTTTTTAGTAGGACACTTTTAAAGGGTTAAACCACAGAACATACTGATCAGGTTCCAAAATTTAAAAAAAGTAAAGCCCTTCTTTAAAATCAGCCTTCTCTTTCACCACTTGTAAAAATAAGGTTACGCAGGTGACAAATACTTGACTGAAAAGCAGCATCAGAATAGAGAGGATCTATTCACAAGGAATCCAAAGCAGAACACAGAAGCAAGTCTCAGAAATAAGTTACCAGAGGCACTGTAAAGAATACGGAAAATCTTCCTGAATGCCAATTTGCGGCAGAACAGAAAATATTTCTGGACAGGGAGACTGATTCATTTGATCCCGTCTCTTTCGTTGGTTTTAAATATAGAGAGAGCACGTGTGAGTCCAAAGGCACTTAAGAGGGAATCAGAGCCTCCTAAGGACTCATCCCTTGTGAAATTCAAGCCACTGACAATCTGCAAACGCGTTAATTCCTTCGGTACCCAAGACAGCGACCGATTTCTCAGGAGGCCTTGGCTGCTGCTGGGGGACGGCTCGCACAGCACAGCCCTGAGCACGCGTGCACCAGGCTGCAGAATACCTTGGGAGGCTGCAGAGCTAGCACACCACTGCGTCTTCCGCACAGGTACCAGGTAGATGGCAAAGCTGCAAGAAGCTAAGGGAAGAATTGCAGAAAAGGTTTGATTGATAACCATTAGCTCGACTTCCCCACGAGCATTTCCAGTCTGTAGCCTGTAATCCGAGAGATTCAGTGAGAGAAGATAAATATTGGCTTGTCTTTCTAATTTGCAACCACATTAGAATTGCACGACTTATGCTATGATTTGCAGCATAAATGAAAGAAAAATCCATGCTCATAATGATACCATTATCTCAACAGCAATTACATGTACAGTTCTTTTAATTACCTAAAGAAATGACTTAAAAGCACTGAATAAATGTGCAGAAATTGCCCAGTTACTGGCAACAACAAATACTGCTAAAAACGAACACAAAAAACAATGAGATCAGTCACCAGACTTTGTTCTGGGATCCTGTGGGCTTTCAGGGGCAGTGAGAGTCACAAGGTGGGCCCACGCACTTCTTCAGCCTCAGCCTGCCAACAGGGTGGCTCACAAGGTCTGTATCAGCATTTTTCCAGTCTCCCCATCTCCTAATTTTACCCTGACAGTTTAAGTACTGTCTCAGACTCTGGAAATGGAAGCTCTGGAAATAACACTTACGAGTTAGGGTCGGTCATCCAGGCTACCCCTTCCATCCTCTGAAAATCCAGCTTTATCGATAGCCCTACAGAACTCACTGTAAGCACTTCTGCAAACCAACCTATTACTGCCATGCAACTTGCTAGTTTACATGGTAAAACTAATTATTCAAAATGCTTAGGCTTATTTTGGCTTAATTATCAGGACACTAATAATTATCTGACTAGTATTAGTGGTCTGCTTGAGTGACTTGCTTACAAAACGTGAACAAAATCAGGGAAGTGTACAGTACTCGTGTTGTCTGCTGCACTTCGAATAAGTGTCAGAGTAGATAATACAGAGTGCAATTTTTGTCTATTGATAAAGTACGAGTTGTTCAGCCTTACGTGGATTTTCTCCCTTCACGCAGATGTCAGAGACCAAACAAAAAAAAATACGAAGGCTGTTCTCACACAGCGGAGCTCTTAATAGAACCATTTCACATTACATGCACAAGATTCACTAGGGGTTTTAGGCAACATATTAAACTGAGGGAAACAGAAAACTTGGAAAAACATTTCACCGAGAAGTTAATGATGTAATGCAGTAATACACATAAAAATTAATAGATCTAGAGGTTAGCACAGCAGAGGACATAAAGCAATTCAGACTGCACTCAAAGTAACTGCATGGGCTGGCCGGATGCCTAGTGCTTAATATTTTACATTGCCATTCAGGAAATTCCCATCTCGTGTTTCTTTTTGCCAGCTTGGAAGAACGATGACCACACAGCCTCTGCAGAGGACATTTTCTAACGTTCTCTACCTCCACAGTGGAGGATGCTTAAGTAGCCAAGTCACTGGCTTACATCAGGGGCCACCAATCCACTCTCCAGATGGAAAATAACCAGGCCAAAACACAAGCCCAGCAAGGACCACCATTGACACGGGCTGCAGAGAAACAACTGAAAGCAAAGAGGGGAGCATTAGGGATGAAGAACAGCAAAACTCTTGGAGTACTGAAAGGGACACCAAAGCCTGCCCAGGCCAAACAGTGAGCTAATCTAAGCTGTTGTTTTCCAGAGGCCATGATTTAGTTGAGTCAATCATAATTCACATCATCTTGGAGGAGAAGAGTGTTTTCTAGAGTGCAAAACTTGCCTGTGTGTGCTTTCACAGGGAAAACAAACACAGGAAGCTATCTTTGAGAAACTGCGAAAGAAAAGAACCCCGTAGTGTGCAGCTCTTAGCAGCCAGCTGCAAGTATTAATGCTAAAACATTCAAATACAAAATTGTTATGCTGTTAAGAAGTTATTTAGAGGCTTGTAAGCATGCCCTACTCATGTAATAATAAGAAGAGCACTGCTCAAACCATTAAAACCACCAAGTACTGAAAATAAACAACCATCTGGTTACCATCCTGCTCCCGAAAAAAAAACGCAGAAGAATAGAAATGCAGAGCAAGCAGAGAGTACATAAAATGGTCAGATAAAACATAGGGCTTTTTGGGAAATCACCAAGTTCCAGAAAAAACAGCCTCATGTTAAACAGCAAATTCTGTTTTCCAGTCTTTATGGTTAGGAAAGCCAGATTTAATTGCAACTTTTAGAGTAAGCTGCTGTCATGTGTCTACTGTTAGATAGCAAGCATTGTCTCCAGTGTGCCCAACAGTCAAGTTCAATTGTGCTTGCTTCTGCTCATAATTTTCTTAAGTATTATCTGACTGAAATTAATACAATTCCAATCTGTTCCCTCCAGGGGGAAAAAAAAGTCTTTGAGCTGCAATCAATCACATAGTGCCACTTCTCTGGGGAAAGTGAATTAGCATCAGTACCCAGTTCCAGAGTTCCCACTGCCTTTGGAAAGGATCTACCTGTGAAGCAGGTGAAAAGAAGAGGTTTCTCCACAACAGGCTATCTGCTCCACCGTTTCTGGAGAAGTCAAGAGATGAATCTTTCTACCAGGGGGGCAAACCTTCATACTGAGAGCACTCACTTTCAAAATATACACAAATTCTTGCGCCTCCAATTAGGGCTCTAGCAAGACACCACTTACAGGCATCACGCTCTTTTCTGCATTTGGGTGTAATAGTTAAGTAAAGACCCACTCTTTTCCTAGTACTGCTCAGGGAATCCTTCATTATGCTGATCCTTCCCTAAGCTGGGAGATAGCAACTTTTTTTTCCTAAAAAAAATCTTATGTGAAGAATTAACGAAGTAAAAATCATTTGATTTATAAAGGTCAGCCAAAAAATAACCTAGTTAAATTACTTTAAAACAAATTCTGCTGAATAATAGATGCAAAAAATCCTGTTTCTGCTTGCAGCGAGAGTTGAAGACTCCTCTGAGGCAGCTGTATGCTCCCCACACACACCCACATCCAATCCCTATACTTAATACTTTTTTTTTTTTTTGATGTATTGTCCTTATTTTAAGGCCCCTCCAATCACAAATACTTCTGAAAGGGAAGTGCAATGCCACACAGTTGTGCAGCCACCTCAGATGCAACACCAAACACCAGCGATGCTGGTGGCCCTGCCTTCCACATCACATTCACCACAGAACTCCAGGGGATGAAATGCCACAGATCACACACACAATAACAGCACAACGTAGTCCTGCAGGTACCTCTTCTGTCTCTGTTCCCCAGCTAACAGCTATCATCCATCATTATTAGCGGACCAAGTGGCAAAATTTGGAAAGAAGCATAAAATAAGAATTGCCCAAAGGTCTCACATTTTAAGCGACGGTTCCAGCACAGGAGCTCCTTACCTCCTGGAAGTTGTGCTGGGTGAACTTGTCAGCAATCCTCAGCAGTTCACGGCACGAGTGAGTATCAGCAAAAGCTCGGATGCCCAGGCAATTGGAAGGGTCCAACTGTCTCTTAAGGAACTCGCAGCAGGCCTCCTGGATCTCAGCCAGCTGGAGAAGGCAAGCAGCTGGCAACAAGGTCTGGACATTCCCCTCTTCCACAGTGATCTGAGAGGTGTAGGCAAAGTCAATGAGCAGTTCCATGGCCCTTTCGTCGATGTCTCTGATCACGACTTCTGTCTGCCGACTCTCTGCCAGCTCCCCGGTGAACATGGCTCGGAAGTAAGGGCTGCAGGCTGACAGGATCACCCTGTGGGCGTAGATCTTCTTCGCACCGACTACCAGCACCACATCGCACAGCTCCCGGTGCTTCCGGAGAAGATTGATGACCTCCAAAGTTTGTCGAGGGTGCTTGTCGGAGATGTAGGGCATGCGTGCAGGCTGTGGCACCCCTTCCGGCAGTTTGTTGGGATCTCCGAGTGTGCAGCGGCTGGTCACGTCCATTCCGGTCTCTCCTGGTCGAGTACTGGTACACCTGCAGCAGGGAAGGCACGAGACAGGACCATCAGCAGCTCATCGATCACTGCCAGCCAAAGCTTTAATGCTCACACCAATTACAGGTGCAAAAACAGCACTGCCTGTAGCTCCGCGTGAGAACGTGAAAATAAATACACACAAAAAGAAGCAGTCTCAAGCCAAAGTGTACCTAGAAATAAACAAATGTCCACCCTCAGGCTTATATTTATATCTATTTTATATGCTTTTTATGACACGCTGCTGTAACATCCAACTACACATACATATTTATTAACTGAACCTCCGAAGAGCCTTGTGTGGTAGAGAAATATTACCCCCATTTCAGAGACAGTGACTCAAAGCAATGAAGATTATCTGACTGCCCCACTCTCACTTGAGTTTTGTCAGTGCTGGAGATGGATTTGCACTGCAAAGAATTCCAGTCACATAATTTAACCAAACTTCTCTGCTCTTCCACCTACCTTTTTTTGTAGGGTCACTCATCATCGATACCTGAACATTGTGGTGTAAATGCCTGAAGTAACTAGGAAAATAAAACTAACATTCACACTTTTAAGGAAAAGGTACAGCATTGAAGACAGGAAAACTTTACACCAATCATAACTAAGATATGCTTGACTAGAGCCACTCAAGCTCCACCTAAAAGATAGAAAATAATATAAATTGGCCCAAGAGAGAGGGGATGTTAGGGAAGATACCATCGTCAGGGGAGATACCATCCCGAGGACATACAACATCCTTAGGACCTCCTGACTCCTGGGATCAGTCGACGGGCTGAGCCTCTCTTCCCCCCCCATTGGGACGCCTTTGGGTGAGATCTGAATATTTGCTTATAAATCTCTATAGAGTCTTTGATCCTTTTAACACATTTATTTCTAGGCTGCGCACCTGTAACACCTGTAACACCTGTAACACCTGTAACACCTACCTAGAACCCGCACCTAGAACCCGCACCTAGAACCCGCACCTAGAACCCGACACCTAGAACCCGACACCTAGAACCCGCACCTAGAACCCGACACCTAGAACCCGCACCTAGAACCCGACACCTAGAACCCGACACCTAGAACCCGCACCTAGAACCCGACACCTAGAACACCTGTAACACCTGTGTATTTCATGCATACTAGCTTGCTTTTGCAGATAGTCACTATCACCGGCAATCCAAAAGAACCTGATTATCTGTTGCTGTAATAAACCATACTTGATTGCATTGTGATAGCTCTCATTAATGCAACTAGGGTGAGGGTGGTTATCCGTGAGAGTTCAGTGTTCTGAATCTAACCAGACCCCCAGACGGTTAATGCATTGTTGGTGAATGTCTGAACGGACCCCCAGGTGGTTAATACGTTTTTGGTGAATGTCTGAACGGACCCCCAGGTGGTTATTACGTTTTTGGTGAATGTCCGAACGGACCCCCAGTTTTGGTGAATGTCCGACTGGTTCAGTACTCTGAATCCAACCGGGCCTGTAACGGTTAATCAGCTACACCCCTTTAACGCGACAGTAAAATTGGTGTAGTCGGCAGGATTGCTATGGATAAACTACTGCAAAAATATAAATGTGCCCCTTCCCAGGCAGGGAAGGAGTTTTCCCAAAAGTTTTGGAAAGATGAGGAGAAAGTGGTAGAGTACATTGAGCAGTGTCAGGCTTCACGAAAGATTGGTCAAAGAAAGGGTAAAGGTGCGATTTGTGCTGTGTTAGGAGCTTGTTTGTCTTGTGCTCGGCAAAAAGCTAAGGAAACTCCTGCTCCCAAACTGATCTCTGATGCGGAACATACAGCTTTGAAATCAGAGAATGAAATATTGAAGTCATCATTGGCCTTTGAAAGGGAGACGGGAAAAACATTAGGAATCAGAGTGGATAAACTTTTGGATGAAAATAATAAACTTTCCATTGAGAATGACAAACTTGTGACTGAAAATGATAAACTTGTGAGTGAGAATAATCATCTTAAACAAATGCTGGAGAGGGTTAGTCATCTGTTAAATAAAGTACAGCCTTGCGCTCCGGTCAAGCAGATTCGTGGAGTGCTGCATAGTGCAGAACCTGAAAGCTGGGACAGTGATTTCTGGTCTGACAGTGATGATGGCGTTGAAGAGATTTCTGATTCTGAACCCCAATCCATTTCCTTGAGACCTTTGGTTAAGACTGAGACTGCTGTTGATGATAATGATGAAATCCGCACTACTGTGCGAACGATTCCGTTGCCACCAGCAGAGTTGGTTAAAATACAGGAGAAGTTCTCATGGCGGTCAGGGGAATCAGAAGTTGAGTATGTGTGTTGAGTTTCTCTTAAAGGAGGAGATCGAATGATGTTGAGTGAGGAAGAGGTAGGAGGCTTTTGGAGACCTGGAGTGTTTTTAACCACCACACCAGGAGCTGACCTGGCTGTAGCAGTACAGAAAGCAGCCTGCATTCAGGCGATATATGAAAGAGATGAATTAAGGAAATCCCAATTGTTAGCTCCTATTGATCCAATTCGGTTAACCCCTCTCATCCGTGGACTCCCTGATTGTCTTAAGATGTTTGTAGCAAACACCCAAGATCATATACTAGCTACTTGTAGGGATGATGATAGTGGTTGTAGGCAAAATCCTAACTCCCCTATTCCCACCTGGAGTGAATTGGTACAAGACATAGATAAGTACGGACACCGAATGGGCTGGATTAATTCATCCAGTATTAAATCCCAAGACCACTCTCGGCGAGTCCGCCAAATCCACACTAAAAATCCCAGATATCCCAAATTCAAAGAGAGATTGAAACCTAATAGGGAACGAGGTGAGTTGTGGTGTCGGCAAAAAAACTCTTATCCCCGGGGAGGGCAATGAGCCACCCTGCTCGGCAGGTATTAACAATTCAATGGCTCTCTAATGAACATATTGACCCTATCATTGCCATTCCTGTTGAACCCCCAAAAATATTGGTAAATTTTCTTATTGACACATGGACCCAAATATCTGTAATTACACATGAGACAGCACAAACCCTGAGCATAACACCTGGTCAACACAGGGTTAAATTCACGGGAATCAATGGTGTGGAAAAACAATGCCCCACTGCAAAAATTTCACTCTGGTTGCCAGAGGAACAAAAATTAACCAGGGTAGAAGTATTAGTTGGTGCTGCATATACTAATATTTTAGGATTTGACATACTGCATGGTTGTGTGTGGAAACTCCCTGATGGAACTGTGTGGAGTTTCGCAACACATCAAAGGATTCAGGCATCATGAGACTGAGTCTGTTACAAACATCCATACCCTCATCCCCTGCTTAAAATCATTAATGATTGGCAATATCTGTTGTCAGCAGCAGCACTTATGGGGATTGACGGGGTGGTAACAGAATTGGAAAAAAGAGACATTATTAAAAGGACCCATTCACCTTACAATTCACCAGTGTGGCCAGTAAAGAAACCAACCAGGCAATGGCATTTTACAGTGGAATACAGACAGCTGAATGCTAACACTACACCTTTGACTGCCACAGTTCCAAACATGGCAGAGATAGTGAAAGCCCTCTGTGTTTCTAACAGTAGCAATAGTGCTAACTACTCCCAAATATTTCTATGCATGGGAAATCAAAGATTGCTATTTCACCCTCTTTCTAACCCTGCCGGTTGAATACAACCGAGCATATTTTATTTTCTTTTGTGTTCACAGGAACCCTGAGCGAACTGTATATGGACAGCTGGAAGATGACGAATCAACAGTTTGGATTAATGATGCTATGCTTTACCCTGACCTTGATGCAATTACAGACCTTAAAGGAAACTTAGCTACTGTGGCTGTGCATGGAGCTGAGGTGTTTCACCGTGGCATTTAACCATGTATTGTCACAGTATTGCACAGTCACTGGAACATCTCAAAACAGAAAGGACCTAAATCTCTCTACTTTAGTTCTACATGGAAACAAAATATTTTCAAAAGATGAATGGAGTTGGAATGATTCTCTAAGAATGGCTGAACTTTAAGCCATGTCTGGACAAACAATACAAATTGGTTGCCAAATAACTAAAATAACTGAACCAAATTTTGATTGCTGGTACAATTTTACTTTCACCAAACTTATAATTGTGTGCTGTCTTTGGGGTTACAGAGGCACAGAATTACTATTTGAATTCATGGTCAAAGGATAAGAAGCCTCTGCCCCTGCAGATATTTGAAAACGAACCGACTCAGTCTCCCATTGGTCTAACTCCTTCCATCTTCAACACAGGTCCTTACATAATTAAAAATATGGGACAACAACTCTTTGACCCTAGTTGGTCCCTAAAAAAGGGCCACAGGATGCAACTGGGTTATTAGGGACAGGATTAGGTATATTAAATAGCATTGATGCTGAGGTCTTAATGAGTAGAGTAACTGCTACTACAGATGACCTAAGGAAATTGGAACAACCAATAAAATCATCCTTATTGGCTTTAGGAGCAAATCAATGGCTTCTATCAGATGTTTTGCCCCACTGGGAACAAATTGAGGAAAATGATCATCAATTAATTGTAAATGCCCTTGGAAAAGCCCAAGGCAATACCTCCCTTGCCTTGAGCTGTATCCAAGCACAGTTATGGATACAATCTGTAGCAGCAGCTATTATTAGAGAGGGAGAAGGAGGAAACTTTGCCCACTGAAATTCGAAAACTGATTTGGGATAATGCTTCAGAATTTGAAAAAGAATTTCAAGCTTGGTGGCAATTAGTCAACTTTACCCATTAAAATGATCAAATTGTTGCCTTTATACTTACTATAAGTAATGCCACCATATACAATGTATATCCAATCATTGCATTAGGACTCAATCATAATGGAACTATACTTTATCCTAAAGAGCATAAAGTATGGGCCCATCAGAAGGGAGGAAAGTGGCAAACAATTGATGTAAATGCATGCATTGTGCGTGAACAAAAAGGTTTCATCTGTGAAAGTAACACGCTGGAATCTCAAGACATTTGTCTTGACACTGAGCAAAATATTTGCCACTTTGAGATACATCCTAATGAAACCCTTAAAACTGTACTTGTATATATTGGGAAAGGTTGTGTTTGTATGAGAACTCATTGTGATTCTATAGTCGTAGATAATACAGTGGTAGATACCAGTAATCACTCTAATGTTTGTGTTTGCAATTTTACCAAAATTCTAGGATGTGATTTTAATTACTCAGTTCCTGTCACTTCTTATCAACTTATTGCATCTAATTATATTCTGCTTCATGAACTGCTGCCTACTCCTATTGGAATGAACCTCACCTTGGTGAAGAAATTGCTGGTACATGAGGACCTGAAGCAGCTGATGACTCAAGTCCGAGAAAATGGACAAAAGACTCTGATTACTGTCCACCATGATGCACAAGAAATACATCGAGTGATGGAAAGAGTGAAGAGAGATGAGAGACACCGTTGGTGGGACAATTTGTTTGGATGGTTGCCAGCTGCCAAGGGAATCTTCAACAAGATGCTTCACCCTGTTATTGTTCTGCTAATACTCACTGTGTTATGTTTTATACTGACAATTAGTTTGTATGTTAAACTCTGGTTTATGATGAAACGTTTAGCATCCCTACACAATGTACATACACTCGGTAAACCTCAATCCGAGAATGTATGTGATGTCCCTGACATATTCCAACTGTCGTGAAGCTTGAGTGACTATAGTCACAGGGTGGATTATGTGGTGTAAATGCCTGAAGTAACTAGGAAAATAAAACTAACATTCACACTTTTAAGGAAAAGGTACAGCATTGAAGAGGCTTTCAGGGTAGGGCATAACTGCATTATCTGAGCATTCCCTAGGCTCCCAACCTTAGATGCTATCGCGCTGGGGAAACTTGGTGTGCTAGCTCTAAGGAACACCACGGAGCGTAGAGTGGAGTGGAGACACCACGGCTAGGCTCTGTAATCAGGTGGGGCCTCGATTGTTCTTGTGCACAAAGCTGCACTTTTTGCCACCCTAAGCCAAAGACCTGTCATGTTTTGACAAATGCTGTACCCTAGTGTACTTTTTGCTCATTATAATATCATTATAATACCAAAACACACCTCCATCCCAAAAGCTACCCGCCTCCAAGGTGCGACCACCCCTCACTGAGCATGCGCTCTGAATTCCTCGGAGCCTATTACTTTAAACGGAGACGGGAAAACTTTACACCAATCATAACTAAGATATGCTTGACTAGAGCCACTCAAGCTCCACCTAGAAGACAGAAAATAATATAAATTGGCCCAAGAGAGAGGGGATGTTAGGGAAGATACCATCGTCAGGGGAGATACCATCCCAAGGACATACAACATCCTTAGGACCTCCTGACTCCTGGGATCAGTCGACGGGCTGAGCCTCTCTTCCCCCCCCATTGGGACGCCTTTGGGTGAGATCTGAATATTTGCTTATAAATCTCTATAGAGTCTTTGATCCTTTTAACGCGTTTATTTCTAGGCTGCGCACCTAGAACACCTAGAACACCTAGAACCCCTAGAACCCACACCTAGAACCCGCACCTAGAACCCGCACCTAGAACCCGCACCTAGAACCCGCACCTAGAACCCGCACCTAGAACCCCTGTAACACCTGTGTATTTCATGCATACTAGCTTGCTTTTGCAGATAGTCACTATCACCGGCAATCCAAAAGAACCTGATTATCTGTTGCTGTAATAAACCATACTTGATTGCATTGTGATAGCTCTCATTAATGCAACTAGGGTGAGGGTGGTTATCCGTGAGAGTTCAGTGTTCTGAATCTAACCAGACCCCCAGACGGTTAATGCATTGTTGGTGAATGTCTGAACGGACCCCCAGGTGGTTAATATGTTTTTGGTGAATGTCCGAACGGACCCCCAGTTTTGGTGAATGTCCGACTGGTTCAGTACTCTGAATCCAAACGGGCCCGTGACGGTTAATCAGCTACACCCCTTTAACGCGACAAACATGCTCAACTGTCACGCAGACTTGGGTAGCTTAAAATGGCCTGAAGCCTACGACAAGGATCTTTCAGGTTCACAAACTATCCATTTAATCATTACCTCTTCTGTTATTTTTGAATTATGGGAGCTTCTGACACAATCCACCATCCCTGACACGTTTCAACAAAGGTTAATCCTTCCCAAGAATGGCAGACTAGGAGCTGCAGAAGGTGACTGGGATTATCAAACCAACCAGAAAAAGTCAAAAACAGAGTATTCAACTATTAGCCTATGGGGGGAAAAAAAAAAGTCTAGGTGGTAATTTTAGAGATGAGAAATCATTTGGGAAGGTGCAAGCTAAGTTTCTGGCACAGAGTAGGTAAGAAATACTGTCCTGCTAGCTCCGTGCATAATGTTCTAGCTACTTGCTGTTCTTTACATAGCTTCAGCTCTCTCTCCTCCATCCCTCGCATCCCCAAGTGGATGTCAGCTCCGCCGTGGTTGAAGTGCAACATCCCTCTGTGCAGCAGTGCTGAGATGATGCTTGGTGCCCCGTCTGTAATGGTGACACCCCACACGGCTCCTGGATGCTAACTGGAGAGAACAGGAATGCAGGATTGCCCCGAGCCCTCCTGCAGGTCTGTAGGGATGAACCAAGCTGACACATCTCATACCTCACTTTGCAAGCTGTCTGCCAACATCCCAGGCTTCACTATCACATTAGCACTGAGTTCAGCCATAAACAAGAAAGGAATTAAACCCAACTCTGCTTTCAGCAACCCGAGTTTGGGGATCAGTGCACACTGAGTGCGCCACACACTCACCTGAGACGTCATTTTGCATGCTCAGAGCATTATTTCTGCCCCATACCATATATGCAATTGCTAAAAAGGATGCAACAGCACCTATCAGCTGCTATGAAAATAAAGAAAACATCAGAAATTCCACTTCAAAATAAAACATCATTTGGAGGAAGTAAAATATACAGAGCAAAGCATCAGAGTGATGGTAGCTCTGAGTAACCAGTGAGTGCACAGGCTGCTGGAGGTACGCTGAAAGAGCCAACGCACATCTTATCCATTCCCAGCTCCTCTGGTGCACTGCATTTGGGAGCTACACTACCTCACTTTGTTCATACTAAGAGTTAAAACGAGATCGCTCTGCCATTGCTCGATGTATTTTGCAGCATGCTTGAAGGAAAGGATTAAATAACTCACATCCTTTCCTCTCATTATTATGTCAAATGCGTTTTTTAACCACAGGGAAACCAGTCTCTTTGCAGCAGTTCAAATTATTCACTTGCATCTTAGACTGTTTTCCCATTCCCCCCACACCCTCTCCTTGATCATCGCGTTCAGATGTTTCAGACCATTACCTCTTCCTCATATCTTACTTACACAGATCCAGCTGGGTCTCCCCTCTGGGTTTTGCTGCTTGCTTCTGCTCAGCCTCTGCACCTTAAATGCCTTGGCTTTCTTTTTAATTTATTTCTTATTTTGTTTTTAATCCCTACTCTTATCTTTCTTCTATCCATCACTGCTCTCCTTTCTTGACACCTCTGACAAATCCTTCTGCTCTTACCCTGCCTCTCACTCTCCTCCACCCACTCCTGTCCCCCACAACCCAAGTTCACCTTGTGGGGTGACGACCATTTTCAAAGTTCCTCACAGACAGTGCAGCTAAACACTCCTTGCAGTAGCAAAATAGAACTAAATTCAACGGTACTCCTACAAAAGAACTCAAGAAACCTTGGCTAAAGATTAATTTACCTAATGGGCTTTCTTTTGTAGTCCTCAGCAGCGAAGGCCAGAGGATAAGTAATTTAATCCCTCAGCCAAGGGATGGAGAAAGGTGGGGACAAAATCCTCCTGTACTGAGTCTATCTCTTGCTAAGCAAGCAAAATGGATTTTGTTGTGCTTTGGGGATTTAAAGCTGTGTCAAACCCCTGTGGGAAGGAAAAAAAAATAAAATAAAAAATAATAATAAAAAAAAATACAGATTATAAGACACGGCCTAGGACCGTGACAGGAGCTCCTTTAGGGGAGCAGGACCCCTTCGCCATGCCCCAAAACATACCAGGCTTTCCTCAAACAAAGGCGACCCCCTAAAAACATCCCTAAACCATGTCTCAGAGAGCTTTTTGGGCCAGCACTGATTCGAACTCCAAAAGAGACTGGATTAAGGCTACGACCCCACAAGGATCGCAGTGTGTCCTGCCAACATCACCACCCAAAACTCCTCGGTGGAACAGATTATGCCAGGTGCTTAGCCGGCCAGATTTGGGCCTGGCCCTGCTGTGCCAGGCCAGAAGAGGCTTTTCTCTCCAAATCTGACTGCCGAACATATCTCAGTCAGCTAACTGAAAAGGAAACTGCTTAGTAAGAACTGCAGGAATTTCTGCATTGTTTATCCGAGTGCGCCCATTGTATCCAGCCTCCTTCCTTCGGGAAGGAAAGTGCTGGTTAATGATTAAAGAAAACTGAATGGATGGAAAAAGAACAATAAGCAAATTAGCACTTCTGATTCATCCATAACTTATCTGTGGGCAATGCAGAAGCTAGTGATCAATGGGCTCGGCAATTTCCATCCTGGAGCAAGCCAGATGCTGGATGTTAAGCACCGTGGGTTGCTGCTATGCGCAGGCACAGGAGTGTGAATTAAAAGGACACCGTCCAACGGCATGCATCTCCACAAGGATAATAATTTCACTGCATTATGTGTGCATTATGCATATATATGCATAGAGAATGAAACGATGACTCAGTAGCTTAGAGGTGTGAAAGGCATAAGGCAGCACTTGATTCTCACATGCTAGGCTAGCTGCTGCCCCCCCCAACACATGCAAAGCTAAGAGCTGCTCCTGAATACTTGGGGTGATTAAGAAGAGTTGAGGGCCGAAGAGGAAATGTGTATGCAAGGATAAAAGATTCCTGCTCAGCTATGCAGATATTCTGGGATTAGCTTCCATCAAAATGCAGGGCTGGGGAAATCAGCAAACACAATGGGATTAAGAAAGGGCTGACAAAGGATCAGTTTTTGTAGCACACTGCCGAAAAGTACAAATGGGAACGCAGACAGTCTGCCACGCTGGCAGATAAATAGGCTGCTCTACCTCCATTTTATTCATCTATGCCAGTTCCCAAAACTTCAATCATTAACACAGGCATCTATGAGACACCCATCCTTACTGCACACAGCAGCTTCTTCAAAAGTTCCAAAAATATCAAAGAAAAATACTTTCCAATACTGTCACAGAGCTCCTTAACTTTAAAGTCAGAATGGCCTGCATTTTTTTGGTCTAAGATTACGTCCGCTTTAGCATGAGATTACAAGAAAGCTTTAATGTAATTCTGAAAAAAACAATAGGCTGACATGAAACAGAGACCCGCAAAACAGAACAAGTAACAGGCTGAAAAAGTCAACTGAAATCATACATTGCTCTCATGGACTTCAGTAGCAATGGATTTTATCAACAGACGAAGATAATGAACCAAGCAGTAGCAATTTCTGTCAAAGCCTAGCTTTGAATTCTATGCATACACAAAGAAAAGGTTTCCTAGACTTATTACAGAACTGCCAGGACAAAGACCTTAGGTCTGCTACAACACTGCCTACCAAGTAAATGGAAATGCCTAATTGTGGCAAACAAACCTCTGAATTAATTAGAAATCTAATTATTAGTAAAAAATACTGCTGACTTCTTTTCTTACCTAGACAGCAAGGTTTAGGCACATGTCAACAAGGCTGTTATGCAAACAAGCACATATAAAATAATACTGCTGCCAGGTTTATGACTCAAAATGAGGGCAGCAGTGATCCGCCATACACATCCCTATTTATGTTGCTTAGTTGGCTTTTCATTGTCCAAACCCAGAAATCTCTCAGTTTCACCAAAAATGAGGACGCTGATGTGCGGAAAGATGAGGTTGTTCCTTGAGACTTCCAAAAACCCTCCTAAATTTTTTGCAGTTTGTCTTGGAAAAGCAACCAGTTAATTTCCCCAAGCACAACACCAGGCTCTGCAACCTCTCCTCCTTGGCAGGGTTTGGCTGCCTGCACTGAAGCCAGCTCCAACACAATGTCGTTGTCACCTGGGAGCAAGCAGGCTGCTGGAAAAGCGCTTGGTGAAAGAGCCAGGAGGTCTCCCACTTGGCCTGGGAGCTGCTCCAGCCCTTGTGCCTTGCCTGAGCTATGTTACAGGCACATCAGCGCCTGGCCACATACCCCATTGGCACTGACCTCCTGGGCTGGTTTCTGCTTCACCCCAGCCCTTCCCCATCACTACAGACTTGCCTGATGATTGCAGGACTCTTGGTCACCAGATCTGCTCTGCCTTCTTTGCCCAGGTTCTGTGGGACTTTGCCCTTCTTGGTGAGGTCCCCTCTGCCTTGCTGTTGCCTTCAGCAGAACAACTTCTCTTGCTGCTCCCTACAGCAAGAAAACACAGCCTGCCCCAACTACCGCTTCACTTCTGATGCAAGATAAATCCTGCTCAAACATCAGTTAGCATTCGCTCTGCTACAATCCTGACAGGAGCAGCTGCAACTCATTTTCTCTTCAAATTGTGCTTCCCATCCCCTGGACACTGCACGCATTTGACACCAAGTCACCATGCTTGTTAACACAAACACCGACCGAGCCCGGCTCCCCTCCTCTTGCAGGATCTGCCACGACTCTCGCTCGTGGTTTGAAATGGCTGCAGAGCCCTGAGTACAAGGATGAAAGCAAGTGCTCCCCCAGCTGCTTAGCTGCACTTCATAGGAAGATCTGGGAGCCTGAAACCCAGTCAGGAAGCTTTCATCCTTTTCTGCTAAAATAAGCAGCAGAACAACAAACAGAAATTTTAACAATCCACACAGAGGCCCTTACAACACAAGGATATTCAGGAACTGAAGTCCACAGCCCGCTGTAGAGCCACGCTTGTCAGGCTAGACTGCAGCAACACAACACATCCAGGCACAGTGATCCACTGAAGGGTTAGCCCAAAAATAATGCCCGTGTAAGTCTGTCAAACACATCATCCCTGCTCTGCACTGGCTTGCCACAGAGGGAGGGAAAACAAAAGGTAGTGAAAGGTCTGCACCAGAAGAGAAAACCTCTCCTTCTTCAGCCCAGTGCTGTTACCCAACACCAGAACTACGCCAGCATGAGTGGCAGGCAGAACTTCTGTGACAGCAAACCTAAGGCCATAACCCCCAGAATACCTCTGAACTTCAGCACTTTTGTTCTCCGCCTCAATGCCACAAGGAGAAATCAGCAGACAAATTTACAACCTCGATTTTCGCATTAGGAGCCCGAAAATAAGGAGAGAAAACAAGAACACAAGCCCAGCTATTCACAAATTCCATGCTATTTTGCAAGAGCATTTTGATAAATGGAGTACAACGTGAAAATCTGAAGAGATATGGTTTTACGTTAGTTAAGATTTAAAACAGTCTCAGCTGCAGAAGACGAAGATGGAAGGGAGCTGGTCTGCTACTTCATTTGTCTCGGAGTAAAAAAGAACTCACAATAGAGCCATATATACATCCTCACTGTCTAAAAACCACATTTCTTATCTTGGCAAAAATACCAAACAATACATAGCCCCAGTGATGCCCATATCATGTCCCAAGGTTTACTCATTAGCTTAACTGAAGCAGCAGCACAGTCTTTTTTGTTGCGCTTGAGGGGTTTATTTAATTAAACAACAGTGTCACTCCTCAAGGGTTTAAATTATTATTTATTTCTTACCTCCTTCTACACCATAGAAGTCAGAATAATATTTTCTGCAAATGCTGCAGCTAGAAACACTCTATATATTCATGTACGGTTTACATTCCTTGTCTTCTCTCACACTAACATTTACAGAATTAGCCATAGTAAAGTTTCCCTGCTTTTAACATCCTAGAGTACAGACAGCCTGGGCAATTTGCATTAGTTCCCTTTACTTCATTTGGAGGTGTAAAACTTCAGGATGCTTTGCTTCCACACAGCTTGCATGCAGAAATACATCTGCTGTTAAGACTTGCCATTGCACATTTGATAGTGAACAACAGCTAGAACCAGCAATCCCGTTTGCCAACCTGCCGTCATGCTAATTTACTGGAACATTTTTTTTCCTTCTACATAACAGATAATGTTTCTGACATAACCACAGCAAGGCATACGCCAGACTTAAACTTCAGCTGCATCTTCAGCTCATTAGAACTGAGGCAGCTGGCATCCATAATTAGAAGAGGAAATCTCCTTTTCACCCAAGACCTTACCCCATCAAAGGAGCTAAACTCCTTTAGTTAAGGGGAAAATAATACCCCTTAGAAATCATTTTTATTCCCAGGCAGCTTATTTCACACAATCATAACACAAAAGTAATTAAATAATGGATTTTAAATGACAGTAAGTGAGGGGGGGGAGAGGAGAATGGAGAATTATAGTTTGTTTCCATACCCTTTTTCTAAGAGCATATTGAAAACTAAATACATAGAAGCAATGACTAAAGATAGATGCTTTATATTCTAATTCTCCTATCCATGTCTTTAAAAAAATAGTTTTATGGTGTAGGCACTTCTGAAACCAAACAAAATTATACTGT